CCCCAAAACCCCAAAACCCCAAAACCCCAATAAATATTATAAAAATTGAAATGAAGGTAATCTATTCTTATTGTAGTTACACGCTTGATTACCTTACTTTTTTGACCTCTCTGTCTAGAAGCATACCTCGATCAATAGTCTATATGGCAAAGGATTTGAGAACCCAAGATCTCTGAAAAAATTCACATATTTTGACCAGCAAAAATTAGGCCTTAAGAGGAAGCAAGATGAGGGAGATATCAAATAAATGAACTATTAACTGTACTTTTGAGTTTGAAATATCTAGGGCCTGCTAAGAAAAAGAAAGAGACTACCAAAATCATGGATGTAAGCCAGTCTTAGGATATTTATCTTTAATGTGATATTTATAGGGCTACCAACAGAAAGTATATAAGAATGTCACCACTTTGGAGAGTCTGCAGGGTAAGGAAATGACAGAACTTGAAAGGATTGGGCTAAAAATGGACGATCTTCTTCTAGATAATGACTATATTTTCCCTGTTGAGGATGAGCCTGTTGCTCTTTCTGATAAAATTGTCTATAAAGGTCACTCTATATGGATAAAAATTCATTTCCCCATGATCAGAGCTTTAAAGATAGAAAATGGGCAATATAGAACTTTGAAGACGTTGTACATCGGACATAACTATAGAAAATCTTGAAAAGAGAAAGGAAAAGGCTCAGAGAGTGATTTTGAATATGAGCTCTCTAGTATGGAAGCAGAAGAGCCTGATGATGAAGTACCTAATATTGAATACATCTTTGAATACTTGTTTCATCACTTTCGTAAGAAGTTTGAAGAGTTTGACTTACCCTCAAGCAAGCCTACAATTGAATATTTCCAAAAAGCTCTTAATCCTGATTGGAACCTCAAAAGGAAGGAAAAAGAGTTTTATAGAAGGAGGTTTGTATCTAAAGGTATCTCATTAAAAATATTCAAAGTTCAAATTTTTTAAATCCCAAAAAATATTCATTTCCTTTACCTCTATTTTCTGATTGCATTTTAAACCTTTTACTGTTCTTTAGAGAAAGTCCTGGATGAGACAGAAGGCTCTACTTACTGAATAGAGATTCATAAGCCACTTCTTGAAATAAACAATGTGAAAAATAACTATTCAATTTTCTCTCATCCTGAAATCGGACCGATTCAGAAACCAGGGGACCATATTGCTACCATAGACTCCGTCTTCAATTGGATTTTCGGAGATGAACAGTACTGGATGATCAAGACACTAGAATACTTCAAGACATTCTCTCAATTCGAAAGGATTCTGGATGAGACTGGAGTGCTTGAGGAACTTGAGCATTTCTTCATCGAAAGAGAATACTCCAGTGATATTACCTCTGAAGATGAAGAAGATATCGTCTCTGTTTCAAACTCTGATGGTGAAGCGGAAGCAGAACTAGAAGTTCGCATCGAACAAGAGCAAAAGTTAGAACTTCAACCAGACGACGAAGAAAATAAAGAACAAATCGATGCGGAGAAGACCAATGGTCAAGAAGAGAAAAAGACACATCTGGCTGAGGAAGAAAATGAGCATAAAGAAGCACAACCAAAGGAGAATGGTATTCAGCAAGATGAGGCTGAAGTTAAAGATGAAACAACTAAAGAGAAAAAGACCAAAGAGCATACAGACATACAGCAAGAAGATTTAGTAAATAAGAAATAGCCTAAAAGTTTCAATATTATTGAATTGAGGAGGGGTTTTGGGGTTTTGGGGTTTTGGGG